AGAAGGATGAAGCAGGAACCACACCTTTCTCCTCTCACAAAAATCAACTCATGCTGGATAACAGACTTAAACCTAAGGTATAAAACTACTAGAATTCTAGAGGAAAATGTTGGAAACACTCTCCTAGACATCGGCCTAGTCAAAGAGTTTAAGAAGAAGTCCCCAAAGGCAATCACAGCAGCAACAAAAATAAATGAATGGGACATGATCAAACTAAATAGCTTCTGCACAGCCAAAGAAAAACTCATGAGAGTAAACAGACAACCTACAGAATGGGAGAAAATTTTTGCATCCTACGTATCCGATAAATGGCTGATAACTAGAATATACTTAGAACTCACGAAAACCCTTTGGCATATTTGATGGGGTTGGTACAGATTTTATTTCAAAAATGCCATTTTCCCCCTCCCCCTAAAAGTCTGAGTCCCATCATGACCACCCCAGATGGTGCACATCTCCCCATTATGTATGGTATATACCACCGCCCCAGCTCCCACCTGCCCCCAATACCCTATACTGGTATGCACTATTGTCACTTAGTGCTACTCAGTTAATACCAGTTTGGTGGAGATATATCTGGATGCTTGTTTTTCCATTCTTGGGATACTTCATTAGTAGTATGGGTTAGCTCTAACCAGGAAATACTATAAGATGTGCTATATCCACCATTGTTTCTTGAGCTGAAATAGTCACTTCCATGTTACATACCTACACATTTTATTACCTTCTTGGATTGATGGGCACCTGGTTTTACCGACAGCTTGCTATTATGAATTGTGCTGCTATACATCGACCGTGCAGGTGCTTTGTTCTGTAGAGTGTCACTCGGTCGTTTGGGTAGATGCGCCAGCAATGGGATGCAGGGATCCAAATGTAGATTCACTTGGTACTCCGTTAAGGTTTCTCCATATTGCTTTCCACAGAGGTTGAACTAGTTTGCAGTCCACCAGCAGTGTATATGCCGTTCTCCTCTCTCTGCAACCACGCAGCATTTATGTTTGGCAGTTTTTTATAAGCCATTCACTGGGTTAAGTGATACTCATTCGGGTTTGTGTTTGATTTGCAATTCCTCTGATGATTAGAGACTGTTGAGCATTTTTTCATATGTTTGTTGGCCATTCTTCTGCCATTCTTATCAAAGTTTCTGTTCAAGTCTTGCCCATTTTTCATGTGGGTTATTTTTGATTTTTCTTCACTAATTTTCGTGAGTTTAAGTATTTCCTAGTTATCAGTCCTTATCGGTTATGCTTGAGCAAAATTTTCTCCTTCTGTAGTTGTCTGTTGCTTCATGACTATTTTTGGCTGTGCGGAAGCCTTTTAGCTTGATCATGATCATTTATATTATTCTTTTTGCTTGCTGTTGATTGCTTTGGGACTTCTTATAACTCTCTGCCATGCCGATGTCTAGGAGAGTGTTTCAACTTTTTCCTCCTAAGTTCTATAGTTTCCATATCTTAGGTTTAAGTCTGTTATCCAGCTGAGTTGTTTTTGTGAGAGTTTTTTTTTTTTGTGAAAGGTGTGGTCCTGTTTTAGCTTCTTACAGGTGGGCTATCCAGTTCCAGCACACTATTTATCTGAAGCAGGGATTCTTTTTCCCCAGCGTATGTTTTGTGCTCTTGTCAACAGATTAGGATGACACTCATAACTTTATGATCTGGGATTTGAGGCATATTAATTTTATACCTACAGAGTCAGGATTATAGCCACCCCTGTCCCACATGAGGTGCTTGGCCTCTTCCTTCTCACCGACTAGTATGCCAAATATTCCACTGTTCTTTCATGGGATGTTTTGCCAGCACGCGGCATGCTCCCTCAACTTTCTGGCATATTATTGTTTATAAATTACTCAACCCTCAGCTCATTGATAAGTATTATGGAGGTTTTTGATCACATACTACTGGCAACCTCCTTAGATGTATTATAATTGTCTCTCCATTTTATTTTTGCTTATTTTAGTTGATGTATCTAGAAATTTTGAACCTCCTCCTTTAAGATAATTATACAGGAGCCATACGACCAGGGGTCGGCCTTCAACTTTCTTATGAGATGCCGTCCATGGTCTCTTGATAAGGCGTTAAAAAAGTTCTTTTTTGGTACAATATTCCATAGATTTATATTATTTTTATTTTCTTGGTGAATTAAAATCCGAGGAGCTTGTTATGACAGTCTACCACTTTTTGTTTATTTTTGTTTGTATTTTTCTTTTTTAGGCCTAGGGCACAGATTCTTATGTATTTGTGTTTTTATACCTTGTCAGAAACCATGAGTTTTGGCAAATGGTGTTTATTTGTTTTTTATGACTATTTGATGATTATTGAGTTGTTTCTTTGCGGATACAATTTTTTTCTCACATTTTTTTTTGAGGTGACGGATTGGCACCATTCAGTATCTGTCTTCAGAGTTGTGGTGTCATGTGTATTTTTTTTCTCTATCCTTCCCCCTCCTGTATTTCTTATCATACACAGGTTACCCTGCCCACTCACCTCTCACAATGTTTACCGCTTACTATCTTCATAGTATCCATGATGGAGGTCATTTAGTTAATTACAATCTTTGCTGTTATTTATACTTAAAATATTTCTAGAATTTATCTTTATAATTTCATTATGTTAGTTATATTTACTTTAATTAGGAAGGGTATGTAGGGTTCCTTTTAGAATATTTTTGGTATTTTACTCTTCTGAGATATAGATTCCTTTGTTGTGGTTTATTTGTTAATATGGAACTTATGGTAGGGATTCTCTCTTTTGATTTACTTGACCTCGTCATAGACTATGTTTGTGAGTCACCTGGTATGCCCGAACTTTTTGGGTGAATCTACTGAGCCAATGATCATTGATCAGTTGCTCCAGCGTTGGCTAGTAAGTTAAAAGGTTTCGTTTTCGGGGTGAATCCATCGTGTTTCTAGTATAACGGAGTGTATAATTTAGCTGTTACCATATCATCAATTGGTCATTAAATCAGTGTGCTACTATCTATCTTGTGAGCAGTTTTATAAAGCCCTATTGTCATATATCTGCCCTCCCTTGCTATCTTCCTTTTATGGATAAACATAGCACGTATTCATTTTTCGCACTTTTGCCCCATACACAGTGTTTTTTCACATTGTCTGATGCTAGTAGCCATGACTTCGCAGCTATGGTTGATGAACCTCTGCATTTGGGACGACAGAGTAGTCGAAAGAATAGTGGCAGCCTGAGAATTGTGGTAATTCATCGGCAGTCCCTCCAGTCCTCGGTGTACCTAGTGGGAATGAGTAGATTCGTAATCTTTTCCCTTCATATGATGTTGGCATATGGGTGCTGTCATATCTTGGGCCCTTGTTATCGGTTTCAGCTATAATTAGGGTTAGGATATGTCCTGTGTCTTACCTCTCTTGATCGGTCTCCTGATTTTCTACTGATAAATGAAGGGATAGAATCTAACTTCGGATAGAGGAACATCCGCAGAATGGTCAAGAAGGTCACGCCCGATAGTTGAATTTGTCGTGCAACCCCTCATAAGGACGCTTTTTCCATCCATGTGGACATCTATTAGAAATGAAGTGAGAAATATACTGTGGATCTGTTGCTTTTGGTTTATTTGAGCCACCTTGGACTTTCTTTTTGGGTTGTAGTTGTTTGTGGTACTCGTGATGATTTGAATTTCCAGCGTTTATATATGTTTTGCTCACTTTTTTTCTCCAATGAAAAGTAGAGGTATATTGGAAAGAGACTTTTTTTCTTGTGATCGTGATTTAAGTATTATGGTTCTAAGTTATATTACGCTCTGGCTATTTTATGGTCTCGGTACGTTATGTAGAGCGTTAGAGATTTGACAGCCTATACTGAGATCAATTGATCCATTTTTCTTCTGAGACGCGGCATGGCATAGGTTCACATAAAGCTGTTCAGATCCGCAATTGTGTCTCTTGTGTCATATACTTCATGGGGTCTCTTAGCTTATCTTTGGATTTGGTGGGCTGAGTGAAGAAGCTACCTGTAATTATAAGTTCTTGACTTTAATGTCCTTCTCGTTCAACAGTTCCATTTTCCTTATTTTTTTCGTTGCTTGACTTGGTGTGTAAATTTCTCGCCTTCTGGAGAATCCTACGCAATTCTATGCAGACGATTTAAAGGGGATCTTCCGATGCAACTAGGCCGATGTCTAGAGAGTGTTTCCAAATTTTCCTCTAGAATTGCTTTTTTATATTACCTTTTTTGGTTATATGTCTGTTATCCAGCATGAGTTTATTTTTGTTAGGAGTTTAGAAAGGTCGTGTTCTGTTTTCATCATTACTACGAGTTCTATCCTGTTTTTGTTGGCCTTTCTTGGTTTTTAGTTTTTTTGTGCCGTGTGTTTTTTTTTTGTGTTGTGTGAGTATTTCTTTTTTTGATATTGTATTCTAGTATTTCGCGGGTGAGCAGGTGGGCTATGCAATGCTGTTTGTTGGTCTGGCATCAGTACAGGTGGTCAGGAAGCTTTGTCTCAAGGGCAGGATGAGATAGATATCTCTTGATCCCTCTTTTT